TGATTCAGTGCTTTTCCTTAGTGTAACTGTCATTGGCCTTCATGATTTGGGTGTGTGGGCATAATTCAAAGAATCTAAACCTAATTTGTAAATGCTCTTCTAACTGTTAATTGTATGATTGATTTTTTTTTTCTTTATTTTGCTTGAAGGTTATTCATACTTTTTAATTGGATAGAAAGAAAGTTTTTCCTGCTTATAAAAATAAATACATAAAATTTTTAAGTAAATGAAAGGTAAGGTCAGAGGTGAATAGGATTATAAAAAATTTTGCTATGAAGGGTATAAACATAAAAGGATCAAGACAGTGTACAACACAAAAACAGTTTATTAGAAAACCCAGTAAAGGAGATTTAAAAATAGGATCTTTGTTCCAATTAAGAAATAACGGTTAATACATAATATCTCATGGTACTTAAACACAATACAAAATCAGCTCTAAATAATGCTAAGAGATTATATTGATGTGGTTCAGAAGTGGGTATTGGATTCATCTAGCCTTATCTCTCACAGGAAGTGTGTCGTGCCCAGAAATAATTAGAAAAATGTGTCAATAAGAATGAAAACTCCTCCTAGCTGGTGTGGTTCAGTAGTTGAGAGTCAGCCGCTGCACCAGGAAGTTCGATTCTATTCCCTGTCAGGGCACAAGCCAAATTTCAGGCTCAATTCCCAGTAGGGGGCAAGCAGGAGGCAGCCAATCAATGATTCTCTCTCATCATCTCTCTCCTTCTTTCTCATTTCTCTTCCTCTCTGAAATCAATAAAAATATATTTCAAAAAACACCAACTTACCTATCCAGTCTTGAATTGAGGTGTAGAAATAGTGACCGAGCGTTCAGTAAATGGGAGCACGGGCCCATTCCCATGCTCCATCTCTCCTTCCCACCCCGTGGGAAATATGACGAAGGCCATCCGTTACAGACTGCATGACCTTGGAGTCTAGTCAGCTCCCTAGTCAAGAAAACAGCCAGCAGTTTTGGTCTTACATAGCTTGCTTGAAAGCACATCCCCCTTCCCTTGTACGACCAGTTTTTCTCTGTTTTCTGGGCTCTATAAAACCTTGTGTTGGGAAAGTAGGGGTGGTGGCAAAACAATGGCACAGGCCAGCTCCTTCCGTGTGGCCAGTCGGCAGGCCGGATGGGACTTGGTAATTCAATTTTGCTAGTGGCAGCATGTGTGGCGGTAACTTACCCACCTGGCCTCCATGGGGTCTCCCCATGTGTAAGACATAAAGGCTGACCTTCCCTCTGGTCCCTGCCCCTGATTTTTTGGGACTATCAAAGAACAGTGTGGTGCTCCCAGGAATGGAGCTCTTATGTTATATCAAGGAATAATCCATGTATATATGTATGTTGTGGATTTTTAAAAAATTGATTTTAAGATTTTAAAGAAAGAGGAAGGGAGAGGGAAATAGGAACACCAGTGATGAGAGAGAATCATCAATGACGAGAGAGAATCATTGATCGGCTGCCTCCTGTATGCCCCTAGTGGGGATTGAGCCCACAACCTGGGCATGTGTCCTGACTTGGTTCATGGGTCGATGCTCAACTACTGAGCCACATCAGCCAGGCTATATTACATATTTTTATAGAATTATACAAGTTTTTATGCACATGGTTTTGTGTGTGTGAGGATTCAATGAGGTTAGCAGAAATTATATTACCATTGTATATATGGTGTCAAAATGGCTCAAAATAGTTGAGTCTTGTGTAAGTTATACAGCCAGTGTCAGTTTCATATGCAATATCATGACTCTAGATCATACTGTATGGAGGTTTTGCTTTGCATTTTAAATCCTCCCCTCCAAAGGACTGAAATTTGTGCTAAAAATGTTTCACAAGGGATTGAATGACCTGCTTTGGGATTCCCAGTAGCCACCCAATGGCACTAAAATTTCCAGTGTATATAATTGTTTTGATGTTTTACATTCACATTTTACTATGTTTACATTTTTAAAACAATAGTAATTTAAATTTACATTTAAATTTTTATTCTCATTGATGAACTTTAAAAAACATATATATGTTATTGATTTTTCACAGAGAGGAAGGGAGAGAGATAGAGAGCTATAAACGTCGATGAGAGAGAAACATTGACCAGCTGCCTCCTGCACACCCCCTACTGGGGATGTGCCCACAACCAATGTACATGCCCTTGACCGGAATCGAACCTGGAACCCTTCAGTCAGCAGACTGACGCTCTACCGCTGAGCCAAACCGGCTTCGGCTCATTGATGAACTTTAAAAACTCTTCTTCTCCAAGAGTGATATTTCTTTAATTTATCTCAGTTTATCTGCTCCCTAGTTTTGAGGTACTTTGTTTATATTCTTCTGTAGTATCAGTTGTTAAGTTGCCTTTACTTTTTTATCATCTTAGTTCTCATAACTAAGATGAGGAAAATAAGGAGTGGATTTTGTTTTTTCAAAGAAAGACATCAAACTAGATTATCTTCCTGGGACTGACAGTTCAAATTAATCAACCCTTTTTTTTTTTTTTTTTTTTTTCCTTACTGGCAGAGGGAGAGAGAAAAAAAAAATGAGGGGAATGATTGAGAGAGAGACAGCTGAGGTCAATGCTCAGGAAGAGAGGATGTGTTCCTCAAACTCTGAAGAATAATATGCATTTAATTAGTAACATCCTGGTACTCTGTGCCTCATTTACATGCTCTTATTTGGTGTGTTACATTTCTGTCATTGTCCTTGTGAAAGGAATTTTAGAGACAAAACAGGCGGACTTAGGGAATTAAGAGGGCCCATGGGAGAGGAATACATATGTGAAGGACAGAGGCGTCTCTTCCCTGAGCAATTAAAGCAACTATAAGGCAGATCAAAAGCAGCCCTGTCCTGAGCAGCTTGGAGAGCCATAAGGGGAAATAAAACTTCTCCAGCCAGGATAGTGGAGAGAGAGCCATAAGGGAGGAGATCAAACGCAACTCCGACCTGAACAGATTGGATGGGTATGTGAAGGATAGAGAAATGCCACAGGATAAGGGGAAAGGAAGACTTACATTCATGGAAAAAAAAAAAAAGTCACAGGATGTGGGGAAGAAGGAAGCATTTCACAGTGGATAGAGGAATGTTGCAAGATAAGGAGAAGGGGTAGGGGGCACCAAGTGGGCTTTCAGCTCTGAAGCTGATACTGTGTAGCAGAAGGACCGGTGAGGAAAGCGTGGGGGCCCTAAATTGAGGAAGAGTCCAATTAGAAAGGGCCAGGGTCAGACAGAGAGCATATAGAAACTGGAGACAAAGGGACATGAGACAGACTTTTAGATCTTAGGTATTTTGAGAGAGAGAGGGGGGGGGGAGGGGGAGGGAGAGGGAGAGGGAGAGGGAGAGGGAGAGAAAACAAGAACGAACAGGCTTTTCCCCTTTGGGGATCCCCTGCCCAGCTGGAGTTTGTATATGCTTCCAATAAACTTCTACATCTTTTATGAAAGAAGCCATGAATTTATGCTTCCTCTTCGTCGGACAAGAACCCACGGGAAGAAAAGTCTGCAGTCCCAGCCCCACGCTTCACGTGCTTCTCCATTGCCAGAGGAAATAATTGAAACAATCAATTGAGTCCACTGGACTAAGCATAGTGTGAAATCCTGGGGGGGGGGGGGGGGGGGCTCTTTAGCTCCAGAGAGAGTGGCTCCAGAGAGGGGCCCCCACACCAAGGGGTTGCCGTCTCTGAAACTTATCTGTGCAGATGCCAAGTCCTTGTCTATGCAGCCCCGAGCAGCCTGCCTGTGCCTCCATTGCTCTAAGGGGAAAAGGGAAACTTCCAGAGCCATCATCTATGTTCCCAAGGGCCATCCAGCAAGACACCCCCCTCCCCAAGGAGCCTCAAGTGACGGGTCCTGGTGTGCGCATCCCTCTGAGGTCGGATGGCTTTTTACCAGACAGGGTGCGGGAGACACCCTCACACCTTCTCCAGTGCTTCTGCCCCAGACGCCTGCGGGAGAGGACGGGGCCGGGCTCCTGCCCACGGCGGGCACGGCGGGCTGCGGTGGGTCCAGCCGGGCCGGGAGGCGGGCGCTGCGGGCTGCTGGCCAGCTGGGGATGCCAGGGCATCCGTGCATCAGCAGCAGCAGCGACCCGGCTCAGCCTAAGGAAAACATGGACTTCTCCTGTGAGTACAGACCCCGCCTGCTGGGCTTCCATTCCCCCAAAGCATCCCCGTTGGGTGACTGCGCCTGGCAGCGCCGGGGCTGCCACCGCCCCCGCGGGCCTAGCTCAGCGCGGCGGGGACCCGGGAGGACAGCCACCTCCCCGGGCTGGGCGGGGGGCAGCGCCCCCCAAGGCCGGGCCCCCTCGGCGATAGAGGGACAGCCCTGCCTCTCCCCCCTCCTCTCGGGATCGGAGGGAGAGGGATGCGTGCGATTCGCGGGGAAGCGAGGCCAGAGCCACCGCCAGCCTCTGTCCTGCCGCCGCCGCCTGGACAAATCCGTGTTTCTCTCCACCCTCTTCCCTCGGCACCCCAGTCCTCCTTTCTTTCCCGAATTTCCTCACCAGTCTCTACCCGAGTCCTCCCAGACCTGATTTTGATCCGTTTCCCAGCAGTTTCAGCGTCGTGTGAGTGTCTGGATGCCAAAGGTCTCACCCTACCGGCGTGTGCGCCCTGTGCCAGGGCGGGTGCGGAGCCCGGGTGGGTGACCGCCCTGGGGACCACCCACCCACGCCCTTCCCTCTGCCGGGCAGAGCCGCAGGTGCAGGGGGCAGGGGTGGGGGTCTGCGCAGAGCTGGGGCGACGGGCCAACCAGAGCCCGGAGAGCGCAGACTCGGGACCTGGGAGCTTAGGGGGTGGGATGGGGGGTGGGAGCAGAGTCGTGGGGGGAAAGGGCTGAACCCCAGGCGGACAGCTGGCCGAGATGCGGGCAGCCCTGGCTTTAAAAGGGCGGGATGACTTTATGCATTCCTTATTTGATCCTTTGTGAAAGCAAACTCCCGCCTCCTGCCCTCCCCTTTGCTCCTCCATCCTCCCCCCTCCCTCCTCCCCGCTCCTTACAGGATCCGGGCTGTGGGCGGCTGGGGAGCGCTCCCTGGGATGCAGCCTCCGAGGCTCCGGCTCCGGAGCCCTGACCCAGCCGGAGCGGCTGAGCTGCTCTGCAAGGATCCCGGCCGGTTCAGCAGCGTTTTCACAAGGTAGCACCGCCGCCGAGATGCCTTTTCTCTTCTGTTCGTGTTGTTTTTATTTTGCCATAAGCTGTTGTTTCTGGCTTGGAGGGTCCAAGAAGAACCCAGGACCTCTTTGCTGCGTTTAATCTAGGAATCTGCAAGCGGGGTTTCTCAGGATTTCACTGCGGCTCCCCTAGTTGGCAGTCAGGGTGGCAGGCAGAGTCTTCCGAAATAGACCCTTTGCGTTTTATGTAAGGAGAGACCCGAAGAGCAGCCCTGGCTTCTCTGTGATGCATCATCTGTATTCATTCCCTCTCTCCTCTCTCTCTCTGTCGCTTTCTCTCCCTCTCTCTCCCCCCCTCTCTCCTCTCCCCTCTCCCCCTTTCCCTCTCTCCTTCTAGCCTTCATTCCTATCATTGGGAAACTCGTCCAGGGCCACTGAAAAGTCAGGAAAGGTTTACATCTGATCCAACACGGATTCCTACTCGCAACGTCCAATAATCTCCGGAAACATCGCCACCAAACAAGTATGAGGATATTATTTCGGAGAAGCGATTAACCCCCTACCGAAACAGAAGGCGCCAGAGGGGAAGGTGAGCCCGGGAGACCGGGAGGCCCTTTGGAGGACAGCGATCTGGGGACCGGCTGGAGGCGGGGCTCAGACCCCGGGCTTCAGTACCGGAGGGGATGGACAGCGTCTCCCGCCTGGGCTGCAGCCACCAGGACAGACGTGCGCGGCCGCGGGCCCTGCTGCTGTCCTTGCCTCCGGGGCTGCCTGCTCCTCGCTTCTAGAAGGCGGTGCCTCGTCCTAACCCCTCGTCCCCGCTCTCCTCCGTTACTAGAGGGGACATAACGGTTCTTATCCACCTGCTACCACGAGCCGCCGGGACTCGGAGGAGTGCTCTTGTTGCACAGACTCAACTCCCAGCAGCAACTTCAAAAAATAATTTTCCTGGGGGCCTGGGAGACATGCAAACCGAGGAGTGAAGCCCAAGTTCTCAAAGGCGCCAGGAAGTCATGGGCTCTGCAGTGAGGATCGAGGTGCTCAAAGGCCCACACTTTTTGGAATAAGCCATGTTCACGAGAGGACACCCCTGTGTTTGGATGTAGCTCCGTGAGAGGAGGTTCCAGAACTATTCAGAATCCCGCGTTAGAGAAACGAGCAGACATCTGATTCTTTCCCTGGGCAGGTAAGTGATAAGGCTGTTTGGTTTGTTTGTTTGTTTGTTTTTTGCTTATTTACAACTCTACTTTTTCAAGGATTTCGCAGAAAGATATCTAAAGCATTCTATTTCCAGCTCTAACTGGTTTGGCTCAGTGGATAGAGCATCAGCCTAAAGCATTCTATTTCCTTGTGGATGAAGTAAACCAACTTGATTTTTAAATAATTGTTCCTGCAGCGTGATCTTTGGAAATCTCTTGCCTGATAAGCTAGTTGAATATTCTTATTGTTGAATATTTTATTTCTATGAAGTCCCTTATATGACAAGATATTAAAGAATTTATATTGTGTTATATTATTACAGTAAACTCTTAGTTGGGTATTTTTGTGTTGCTGGACTAACATACTTTTAAATTTATATATGTCTTGGTTGTACAAAATCTGGACTTTTATTAAGAGGGTCTTTTTTTTAATCTTATACTTGCAGTTTAAAGTGATCTTGTCTGTTACATAGTATGAAAAATTCAAAAAGTATCAAGTAGAGATTGTTTAACCACTCCTTCTATTACATTTAGATGATTTTAGTTTGCCAAACAATGCACAGGAACAAACACAAGTATGCATGCACACCTGATTCCTCTTTCCTCCTCAACACCCACGTATACCTACACCTGTAGAATCTTAACTAAAAAATACACACATTTTTACTTAGTGTGGTCTTTCCTGCCTTTTACAGCTTTTAAGACTGCTTGCTCAAAACACATTTGCCAGAAGGTAGAAAATGAGAAGCTTTAGTGTGCCTTTTAGATATATACTAGAGGCCTGGTGCATGAAAACTCATGCACTCTGGAGGGAGTCGTCCCTCAGTCTGCCTGCACCCTCTCACAGTCCAGACCCCAGGGGATGTCCCACTGACAGCCTAAGCCACAGTTGGACATCCTTAGCACTGCTTCCGTGGAGGTGGGAGAGCTCCCACCGCCTCTGTTGCACTCACAGCCGACAGCGCAGTTTGTGGCTGAGTGGGGCGCACCCTATGAGAGCACCCTGACCACCAGGGGCAGCTCCTGCAGTGAGCATCTGCCCCCTGGTGGTCAGTGCGCGTCATAGTGACCAGCCTTTCCTGGTTACTCTGCCATTAGGGTCAATTTGCATGTTACCCTTTTATTATATAGGATATATATATATATTTCAGAGAGGAAGGGAGAGGGAGTGGAAGATTGAAACATCAATGATGAGAGAGAATCATTGATTGGCCGCTTCCTGCACACCCCTTACTGGGGATCAAGCCGGCAACTCAGGCATGTGCCCTTGACCGGAATCGAACCCAAAACCCTTCAGTCCACAGGCCAACACGAAGCCAATCCAGCTAGGGCTTTTGTGTGCCTTTTTGGAGAGCTGTGTTTTTATAGCAGTCTGACTTAGTTCTATAAAATAAGCCTGTCTCTAAAATCCAGAAAAGTGGTAGAGGAAAATAGGTTCTTGACAGACCATAAACTTTAAAGTGTTTATTAAATCTGTTTTTGTTGATTCTTATTTCTGGAGTCTTCCCCTGGAGCTTTAAAACTGCCATCTTTCATAGTGACCTTGATAAGCATTCAGCTTTGATAGAAAGGTTTCATTTAGGTAAAAGAAGTTACACAGATTTATAGCCTTCGCCCGACAGTTCACTGAGGGCTCCATCAACTCCAGCGTTCACATTCAGTTCTGCGGAGCGTGTTGACTTGCAAGGATAGTCTTTTACAGTCACGGAAGCACATGTGATGCTATATGCATAACCAACACTGTGGAAAGAGTTTGCCCCTTTGAAACACTGTAGTTCCTTAGTTTACTTCTTTTAATGTGTAGGTCACATCTAAACGATAATGAAGTACTCCTACTACATACCCATACAGACATACCTTCCTTCTCAGTCTCAGCACAGAAATCCCAAGCCAAGTAAGATGGTATTTGTTGGTAGATTGATGGGCCCTTGTTTTGCATTGGCTTAGAGTAGCAATTACACTGGGAAGGAAAAAACATCATTCTTCACTGTCTTTACCATTTACCACGAGCCTGCTTGTTTAGCAGAACGGGAGCAGAGACATCTGTGTCATTGAGCTGCTTGGGGGCTGTATTGCTCTTTATAGGTCAGAAATGACTAGCCTTAGCCAGTTTGGTTCAGTGTAAGGAGTATCAGCCTGCGTACTGAAGGGTTCCAGGTTCGATTCCAGCCAAGGGTGCATGCCTGGGTTGCTGGCTCAATCCCAGTGTAGGGTATGCGTGAGGCAGCCAATCAATGACTCTCTCATTATTGATGTTGCTTTCTCTCCTTCCTTCCTCTCTGAAATAAGTAAAAATCAAAAATAAAAAAGAGAAATGACCATCATGTGAGGAGGAAATGTACATTGATTTGGATTCCTTCCTAGGAGATCTACGATGTGCTCCTAACACAACCTGATATATATATATTTTTTCTAACCTGAGAGCTGTGAAAGTGAAACTGCCTCATGGAATAATTCATGATGCTTTAAGAGACGTAGGGTATATTTTTAGACTGATATTTTGGTTGTCAATGAACACAGACTCTCCTGGCTGTCACCTCAGAAAAATGAAAGCAGGAAATGTATTCTAGGAAGCATCTTGTAGGTATGTGGCCGCAGCTACCTTCAAGTGGTACAGAGGGCAGGCTTTTCTCAGGTGTGTGTGAAACGGCACAGAGTAAAAGGCATCTTTGCCTAAATCTTTTGGAGATTTAGTCATAGAAATTAATAACTCGAATTCTCCCTTGCAAACTCAGGCAAAGTGCACGGAAGCTCATAACAATCATTATCTTTGCAGAGATGTCATTTACATTGAGATAGAGACTGGTAAATCAATTTAATGCCTACCTAGATGCTGATCTCTAAGTGCCTCCTTCCCAACAAGAGTGGGTGTTAATGTTAGCAAATCTTTTTTGCACATAATCACTGTGTTCAAAGATAAATCAATGCTGTCTTCCAGGATATTCAGATCCCCGTAAAGGAAACTGCTTGGTAGTTATTTTGGCCCATTAGGAAAACGGACCATGCAGGTCTGCAGAGTACTTAACTAGGCACAGTAATTCAACATCTCCTCCCCCTCCTCAGGTGAGGGCAGGGGTGGTGCTGACACTGCTTTGTTGATAAAGGTTGGTGACCTTTGTTTACATTGAGATGCAAAGGAGAAAAGTGAAATAGGATTGCATAGACAGGAAATGTAAAGTGTATGTAGGACCAGAGGATAATCAGAAATGAGCCCTGGGATCTCTCCAATTGCTTTTATTTACGTTTTTCATGAGAAATGGTGTGTGGCAAGTGGGACAGGGAGTTCTGGCCTGAATCTTTAAATCATCCTATCTAATAAAGAGGGATTATGCTAATTGACCATCACTCCATCACAAAGATGGCTGCTCCCACAGCTGAAGCCAAGTTCCCATAGGGAATCTTAAAGAGCAATCAGCAGGGACCTGCCTGAGGTTACACCCTCCCCCACCTGGCAGGGCTTGACAGGGGACATGAGGCCATGCTCCCTGCCCAGCGGCTTGATGGGGGACCTCAAGGTGCATTTCCCATCCTGGTGCTAGGCTAGGGGACCTCAGACTGCTCCCCCACCCCCACTCCCATCCCAGAGCCAGGGCAGGGGACTCAGGCCTCGCCCTCCACCAGGTGGGGCTTGACAGAGGCCTACAGGCCACGCCCCCCACCCTGGCACCAGGCCAGGGGACCTCAGGCCACACCCCCTGCTTCAGCACAGGGTCAGGGGACCTGAAGCTGTGCCTCCCCGCCTGGTGACACTTGATGGGGGACCTCAGGCCATGCCCCCACCCAGTGGAGCTTGACAGGGGATCTCAGGCCATGTACCCCACTGGCAGGGCTTGACACACACACACACACACCCCACTCTGGTCTGGGCTGGGGGACCTCAGGCCATGTCCCCCCGTTCTGATGCCAGGCCAGGGGATCTGAGGATACATCCCCTGGAGAGGGTTGGGAGGGGGGGCTTGAAAAGGGTGGCAATGGCTGGGTTTGCATCTGGCCCAATGAGGGAGGGGGCCAGCTGGGTATGAGTCTCTTGCGATTTTGAGACACATGTGGGTGGGCTGGGACTTGACTCTGGGTCCCGTGGTGTGTCTCAGACTCTGACAGGAAGAAGGTTTTCATATGCATTTTACTACTTTTCTTTCATCTCTGACACTTCTATTGTAGAGAAAGGGCAAATAGCAATATTACATTATTTCCTCTAATTAATCCCCTTTTAATGTGCATAAATTTCATGCACCTGGCCACTAGTAAAATATTATAAAAAAAATACAAAACACACTCTTGTTTAATGTTTTGTGTAGATCATCCGAATATTAACAGGATAGTCTAATGTCATTACTGATACCTACAGATCATATTGGATTTCAATGTCCAGAGTTTGCCTTAGAAATTTTTTTGGGGGGGGATTTGAATCAAGGTATGTGTATATCAAAAAATATAAAAGTATGAGATGATTAGTTACTGGAATTGAAGAAGGCCCTCAGTAACTGACTTTTATTTTTATGTCATTTTAAAGCTGTGAATTCTGGGCAAGCAACTTGCTTATTCACCCAATTCTAACGAGCAAGGTAAAAGCCACTAGTGAAGAAGAGCATGTTGTAACCTGGAAATGATTTTTATAGTCAGCTCTCCAGAAACCTGTATAATGAGTCATAGAATAGCACTCAAATGCTATTCTTATTTACTATCTTCTTCCTGTTTAGTTTAGGTGAATGAGTTATACAGGAGGCGTGCTCAAAGAGACGATGTGCTGTAGTGTAAAATATGTTACCTGTCATGATGGAGCAGAACAAGTGCTGTTTGATAATCCAAAGATTAGGAGTCTTAAATGCTTGTCATTAGATCTTAGGCAAGTCACTGGACCCAATGGAACTTTTCTTCTGTAAAAGGGGGTACTATCTGTATGGATTAAGGTGCAATTCTAATGTGGTTGACATCTAACTCTCTGTGGGATGAATGAGCAATGCCTACAGGGTGAAATATTGGAAAG